TACTACATAACACATATATAAACATATAAGGTTGTCGTGGACTCCTTCCAGGGTCTTACTCCAGGATATTGTGGGCTCCCCCAGGGTCTTATACCTATATGCCATGGGCTCCCCCACATGGTCTTAACTACTTGCCATTGGCTCCTCCCATGGTCTTTACGTGGTATGCCATGGGCTCCTCCCATGGTCTAATATCCAACTACCGTGGGCTCCCCCCGGGGTCTTCACATATCTAGTCAATAAAATAATAGCACACTCACATATTCATGCATACTAACATATCATTAGTGAATCCATAATAAACACTACAACTAACTGAATGGGCCGACCTTGGTGCCTTAGACCCACTGGTATGGTGAGGAGACTCACCTCTCACGAAATGCTGAACTGATAAGATCAAATCCCAACTCATAGCTCCAAATCAACTGCCTACAACCACCATGTGACCAGCTTTGTCAAAATCCCGACATACCAAAAGTACCCTTAAAGTCAAACTTGGTCCACCATAGTTAAAGTCAACAGTCAACAGTCAAGGTCAACAGTCCATGTTGACCCAACTCATCGAGTTCCTTCAGAACTCATAAAACTGAAAAAAAAAACCCTAACTAACTCATCGAGTTATCTCATGAAGTTACTGAGTTTATCCAGGATCCAGAAAGCGGGAAAACCTAACTCGACTCGTCGAGTTGGCTAAGCAACTCGTCGAGTTCCTTCAACATTTTCATAATTAGTCCTTTCCAGTCGAATCCAAGGACCTAAACTACAGATCCCATCCCCTAGGGTTAAGATACCACATAAAGTAGCCAACTTTACATTCATGCATGACATCCAAGGGGTTAAAACACTTATATGAAGCTTAATAAGGGGTTAAGGGCAAAAGGGAGGGCTATAACTTAATAAAGATGGCAACTTTATGTCCAAAGAGACCATGATGAGTCAAGATCTGAGACCATATCCTCATGACAAGCTCAAACTCGAGAGTAACTCCATTTTGCTCTAGAAATGACCATATTCTTAAATAAGGGAAGATATAAGAAATGGAAAGCCAAGGTAAAGAATTTTTACCTCCAAATGGTTGCTAACACATAGTAGATGTCGGATCTACAACTTCTCCCTTTGCTCCAACCTCTTCAAGTTCAAAATTCCTTCACAACCACACCAAAATCACTCTCCAAGGCTTTCACACACACTCAAGAGGGTATAAGGCTCGAATTAGGGTTTCTCTGGGATGACGATGAGGGAGGCCACAAATGAGCCATAATTTCTTTATATAGGGTGCAAAACCCAGAAAATTGGGGTTTTCCTTTCCAGTGTCTACTCGTTGAGTTTGGGCCTTCCAACTCGTCGAGTAGACCCTTCATCCTGAGTCCAAAATGATCCATACTCGACGAGTTGGAGCTCCCTAATTCGTTGAGTCCCAATCCAAAACCCTAAAATGCTAGAGAAATAATTGATACCTGAAACAAGCATTACATTTATTATATTGATTACATTCGTTTTTAGTTAAGAGTTTGTTTTCAGTTAATCTGAACTTGTAAAATCGGATAAAACCCCCACTTTTAGTTGCTTTTTCTTAGTTTAGCTTTTAGTAATTATTTTATTAATTAAATATCATTCCCTGTTATCGACATCCGACTTACCTAAAGCTATACTATAATCTGACTAGGTACACTGCCTACATGTGCATAGTTAGTATAAGTTTGTTAGGTTATAAATTTAAAGCTAGATAGATATAATTTGCACCACATCAGAGGCCCTCAAGGAGTTAAAGTCTTTAAGTAGGGCTCACGACCCCATAATTAAGGGTTAAGTCATGTGCTCTTTCGTCGAGTGTAGCCATCTCTATTCCCATTGTAGGGCATTACGTCCCTTGATGGAATCTTTCACCTACGCCAAGTGTAAGAGACCATCCTTGATGGTACCAATAATCTTTCACCAAAATGAACACATGCAAAAAATAAATATTAAGAGCATACCATGAACGAAACTTATTGTTTTTTGAATGCCACACGGTAATGCTGAAAAGATTGAAGAAAAATGCTAACAAATACAATAGAAAACAAGAAGAATATTGAACGAAAGACTAAGAATTCAAAAGAAAATCACTAAAATATTTTAGATTTGTGAACAAGATATAAATATCAATCAAAACAAGAACTTAGAAAGGAAAGAGTATAATTAGGGTTGTAAATGTTGTTCAGCGAATTGTTCGTGTTCCGTTCGTTGGGAAGTTCGTTTATTTAATAAATGAACGAACATGAACAAGATCGTTTTTTCTTTTAGTTAAATAAACAAACATGAACATCTGGTTTGTTCGTTCATTTACGTTCGTGAACGTTTGTTTATGTTCATTTATATTCGTTCGTTTAGGTATGTGCGTATGTGTGTGTATGTCTCTCTCTCTCTCTCTCTCTCTCTCTCTCTCTCTCTCTTTCTCTCTCTCTCTATCTCTATCTCTCTCTCTCTCTCTCTTTCTCTCTCTCTCTCTCTATATATATATATATATATATATATATATATGGTTCTTTTTTCGGATGTTAATAGTTGTTTACCTTTATTTATTTCGTTTATGCTCATGTAGGCTTTTTATGTTCGTTCATTTATGTTCATTTATGCTCAATCACATCCGTTCATTTACATTCATTCTTTTATGTTCATCCATTTACATTCGTTTAGCATCTTAATGAAAGAACATAAATGAACATGAGAATAATTTCTTAAACGAACGAACATGAACAAATAAATTTGTTCGTTTATGTTTTTGTGTTCGTTCATTTGTTCGGTTAAACTTAAACGAACGAACATGAATAAATCTCGTTAATGTTCGTTCGGTTCGTTTACAGTTCTAAACATCATAGAGTGTATTGTGAAATATTAAGGCAAAATGACATATTTACCCTAAATGAAGCGTTTGCATATCAAATTATAATTAGTGGCCACAATTTGCCTATACTCTTTTCACAAAAACTAGTCTTCATTGATGAATCATCTATATCTCTCTCTCTCTCTCTCTCTCTCTCTCTATATATATATATATATATATATATATATATATATATATATATATATATATATATATATATATATATATATATATATATATATATATATATATATATATATATATATATATATATATATATATCATTATTAAACTTTATATATTGTATGGATGTATCACAAATTTTATACAAATCATTTGATAGGCGCATTATATTAATTTTTCTTGTTTAATTAATTAAATAACCTAAATTAAAATAATCATTTAAATTTCAAAAATAAGATATTATATTTATGGAATGAAAACTTTAAATCATGCGATCACCATCAACACATCTTTACCGGGAGCCCACATTCTCGGATTCATCTTCTTATGTATGTTATACCGTATACCACATCTCACATCCACCATCATCAATCCGAAGCCACCATCATCAAATCAAACATCCACATTCGACGCAACTTCACTAATTCCACTGTTATTAAACTACTCACTTGACCAGATACAAGTTATTGCAACCATTACAACCTAACACTATCCTATCTAAAAACAAGAATCCGCGATCCACTATCTTCAACCCCTTAACAAAGCCTCAACTATATTTTTGAACCTGCAACTCGATTTTAAGGAGGAATGATGGGTTTCGTTCTTAAAGAATATATTTAACATAGATAAAACATATACCTATAAAGCTAATGTTCATCAATTTCTTTTTAATTCTCACAAAATGATGTACATTTCCAATTCTATTACCAAATAATGTACTTGTCAAAAAGAAAACATGACCTGCAAACCTTCTTTTCATTCATCAGTTTCGTTTTTATTTTTTATTTTTTAACATGTAGTTGCTGTACATTTTTAAAGAATGTAATTGATATACAGTTTCCAAGAATTTAATTGATGGACATTCTTAAAGAATGTAATTGTTGTACATTTTGTGGTTCAATGGTTCAAAAGTATTTATGAAATCAACATATTTTTAATGAATTTATTCTGATTTTTAACGAATGAAATATATTAAACTATTTTTACCCTAAATTCTTCACGTATATTTGATTCTTAAACTGATTCTTAACCCTAATTTCTACAAAATTATTTAATTCATTGTTTAGTTGAACCGATTCTTAATCATTACTCCATAAAAATCAAGTTAAAGTTCAATGATTCTTAACACTTTATTCTTCAAGAGTTTATGATTATTTTCCCATGAAGCTTTGGAAATTATGATACGTATCTTGATATTAGAATTTAATTACATAATTGAAATTTAACTGAAATTGATATTCATTGAAAATCTCACATTTCATATATATTTATAAACCATTCTTTTGGTTACACCTTTATAAAAAAAATAATAGTAATTATATAGTAATGTTATGACATGTTAATAGCATCCACTTCTAACTTTTCATGTTTTTAATCCAATAAAAAAGAAAGGGCCATATATTAACATAATATTTGTAGTTGATTATATATATATATATATATATATATATATATATATATATATATATATATATATATATATATATATATATATAATAGAAAAAATAAATATTTTGTTAAAGACTATAAAGATTGTTGTTAATGTGTTTGTAAATGGTAATGTCCATTTTTCAAAGAGTATTGGAATTTTAGTGGTGTGTTCTCTAAAATACAAAAAGTGATATGAAACGACTGAAATACTAACTTGATTGCAATGGCGTTCAATAATAAATAAATATATAAAACTTGGATTGCAGTGGTGCGATTTTCTAATCTGTAGAATGCTTCGATAATCAGTCACAACCAAATTATAATGACATAAACAAATAAAGTCAGTTAGTTAATTAATGTAGTGTATATATATATATATATATATATATATATATATATATATATATATATATATATATATATATATATATATATATATATATATATATTAGTTAGATGATCAATGATCACATGAAACATGGAATTTGTTGACTTTGAGTTTGGTAATGGATCTACATCAAGTTCAATCATCACCAAACATGGTGTCCCAGATCTCCGAGAAAGCTTCCACAATCACGCCATGGTGAAACCTTGAATTCAACGACAAGAAACACTGCAAAAGCTGCTCAAGATCAGTCTCCTCAAACATCTGTTTCTCCATTATCATCTCCATCATCGATCTCTTGAAATCTTCGAATGGATCCTCCGATCTCTTCACCACTGCGAAGCTCTCCTTCATCTTCCCCTCCACTTTACAAGGTATAAGCTTTTTAAAAACTGACAACCTCGCCGGGGATCCCCATTCAGGCGACATACCGGAACTGCCTTTACACATCATCATCATCATTCCTCCTCCTCCACCTCCTCCGCCACTGTTTCCATGGCCTCGGCTGCTGCGTTTCGATGATGAATTTCGCTTTTTGTTGAATTTGTAGCGATGCGAGAGTGAAATTGGCGCGCACTCACGTATGGTTTCTAGCTGAGGGTTGAAGTCTGTTGACGAATCCGTTGAGAAGCTTCTAGAAGATGAAATTAGGGTTTCGGTTTCATCTTCCACTTCACCGTCGTCTCCGCCGTGAAGAGCTTCGTCTTCGCCACCTTCATGGATGCTATACTCGCTGCTAAAAAGACCACTATCACCGGAGGATGTGCTGATGTTTCTTAATCTGTTTACCTTCGCTCTTCTACCCCGACGTCTTTTCTTTTTGTCCACCGGAGGCAATGGTAGTAACGGCAACGCAAAACGGTCATCGTCGGTATCACCACCGGAGACGGAGGAGTTGTATATTTTCCGGCGAGGGGACTCCGCGTCGTATATTTTAGCGACAACATGCCATTGCTCGTCCTCTTGCCACTGGAAGTATTCGGAGTCAGACTGGTCACCGGATTTGGAGCCACATCCGAAGGCGGAGGAGACGTGGCTTTTGAAGGAAGAGCGATGTGGTTGATGCTTAGAGATCGGCAGCTGTGCGGTGGTTGGTGGGTAATCGACGGTGAAGATGTTGTGACGTTGAAACGCCGGGACGGGATGCTCCGGCAGGTCCGAAGGGTCTTTTGATCTGCATGACTGAAAGATCCGCAGCTTAAATTTCGCCATATTTACTGAGTTGGGTGATGAAAATGAGAAAACTGAAGATTTATAAGACATGAAGTGGCAACTGGCATGTTAATAGTAATATGGTTGGATGGGGGTGGGATGGCGTGGGGTGGTCTGGGGGGATAGGGTAAGGGGGGGGGGGGGGGGAGGAGTCGGCGCTTTATTCTACGTACTGGGTCAACAGGGGATTAAAATTTGATCTATTTTAATTTTTATATTTTAAAGAATTATTAATTACGTATATATAATATGTTATAATGTTATATCTAGTAATAAAACAAAATAAAGGATTTTGTATTTTTTAAAATGATTATATTTTTGAATAAAAACCTGAAAAGAAACTATTTAAATGTTTTAAACAACTGTTGAGCACGGTTGAATATATAAATCTTGACACTGTTATAAAATTTGACTCAGCATGAGCATTTATAGAGTTTGACACAGCTCATGTATTGATCAATCAATCACAGTTTTTATATATATATTCTAAATATATATCTCACTTTTTCTTAATTTGATTGAAATGAAATTACAACGATAAAAAGTTTTCCGTCTTCTAGTGGAATCTGTATCTGTATCGATTAAAATTATTGAGATGTTTTCAATCTCTAAAGATCATTGATTAGAGTCGACAATACATAATGAGAATAGGGGTACAAGGTATAAGGCATGATGTACAAGAAGATGGAGCAAGGGTGCAAAAGAAAAGGTTCCAAACATAAAAGGACAAATTTCATGACCTATATTGATAGCCTTGATTACATAAGATGGGGTGTTTGTATTCGGCTTTTGGATACAATTTCATTTATCTTGGTGTTTGATGTCTTAGATTGTAACAAGTCAAATATAGGAGGTGTTTGGCTCAAAGTGCATGGTAAATTACATATTATTGCCCAATTATTTGTCTTTTTCTTTAAGTTAGATTTTTGGTCAAAACATACTATTCAATTGTGATTAAAATATTTATAATTATTAAATTATATGTATTTATATGTAGTTTTTTAATACATATGTGTTGTGGTGTACTAGTGTAAATGGAATTGAAGGACTACAAATGCTTTATAAACTTTTTAAATATCAAATATACCCTTTATTATACTGTAGCAAAAGGGTAAATATTCTTTATTTGTTGAAAATTAAAAGAAATTAAGAGAAAATGATGAGATGGGTCTTCGGTTTACAATTAGGTCAATAGACCTTCTCACCCCTTGGAAAAAAGTTGATTTTGCAAAAGAGATTACAAGCATCCAATGAGGGAACAAAATCATGTAATGCATGCCAATGTCTTTTCTTTTCTCTCTTTTTTCTTCTCTAAAGTCTTTTCTTTTCTCTCTTTTTAATAATATAAAAAATAGAAGGATCTCTTACACACTTTGTAAGACAAAATGTACAAAATCAATGGAGTATTTTTTAACATGGTAGGGCAAAAACTTTGCTTGCTAAATAGCAATGTAAAATCTTGTTCATCCTCTTTAATTCGACACCAAATTATAATTATTATTATTATTATTATTATTATTATTATTATTATTATTATTATTATATATATATATAGAGAGAGAGAAAAAATTAAATGTAAACTAGAAATATTATGTGAATACATGACAAATATAGATATATTTTAGTTATATTTTCATCCAGTATGGTACTTATGTGAAACAACATTGAATTGTTTCATTTGAAAACATTTAATTGTCTAATGAATACATGGTGGCAACATACTGTTATCAGTCAGGTTTAGTTCGTGGCATATATATGTTTTTCATTTAGACAAAATTGTAAGAATGAGTTTTGTGGTTAGATCGAAATTTCTACTTTGGGCCAAACATAGCACTAATGGTCCAAAGATTTTCATTTTCTTACCAATTTGATCCAATTTATTTTAAATTTTTTTGACGATTTTGCTCTTGGAGAGAGAGATATGTATTTTTTTGTAATGACAATTTATCTACTTTGGGCCAAACATAGCACTATGGGAGAAAGAGATATGTATTTTTTTTATTTTTCTTTTAATTATAAAAGTATTTAAATAAATAAAAACTAAAAAAAATTAAAATCCAAGAGCAAAATCGTCATTACAAAAAAAGTTTAAAGTAAACTGGACCAAAGTAACAAGAAAATGAAAACCTTTGGACCATGAGTGTTAGTCCAAACCTGTTTGGCCCAAACTAGCAATTTCGATCGGACCATTCTTGCAATTTTGTCTTTAATTATTTATTGAAGGTGAATAAATTGGATAAGAAATGTATATTTGTTGGATGTATCTTTTATCTTATTAATGGTTGTATGTTTTCATCCATTAGATGGATAAAAAGGAGATAGAAATAGAAATAAATAATGAAACATCAACTTCAAGTGGTAGAGATTTTATAGTTAGAAGGCCACATATGGATATGGATTCTAAGGGAAATGTGCAGAAAAATCTCGTTATTTTGGAAATTTTTTTTGAATAGAAAAGTGTCGATTATTTAATATTTTGTCCAAATTAATGAAAAAAATCTTTATTTTAATTTTAACAAGATTAAAAATAGTTTAACCTAAAAGGATTGTTCATTATTTTTTTATGACGTATGAAAAATTATCAATGGAATTTCCCTGGTTGCTATCTACCGCCCCATGTCCTCATGACTCCTCCGTTGAGTACAACAAAACCACCAACCACCCATTGCAATGGTGGGGCAAGAATTAGAAGTTGATGTACTATGGAGTTCAATCATAAATATGCCCAAAGTGTCAGACTCCTTGATTTTTTTTCGTTTTCAAATCCTCTAGGTATTTCAAGCAGCTATGTTTCTAGTGTCCCTTTGACTGAGAGAAGAAACAAATGGCCTTATTTGGACCACTGGTAGGAGTTATCTCATGTAACATCCCGGAATCGCAAGAGTAGAGTTGAAGGGCTAAAAGTGTAAGTTTTAGAGGATGACTCGGCGAGTCCATGGATAGACTCGACGAGTCAGGTCGCGGTCATGGTCGCGTGTCAAGTGGCCTACTCGGCGAGTCCCTAGATGGACTCGGCGAGTAGGTGCTGTATGGAGAAAACCCTAATTTCCGGGGTTGAGCCCTATATAAAGAGCATTATACTCCTCCACAGCCTCCCTTATTCCCCCCTTGAGTTCCAGAAACCCTAAATTCGTGGAGAGATCATTTGTGGAGCAAATTAGAGCTTGGAGAGGTGTTGTTTGAAGAGATCTTGAAGGAGAAGTGGCTTGGATCAAAGGGCTTTGCTTGGATTCGAGTTTGGCTGCTATTGAGGCATCTTTTGGAGGTAATATCTTCGTCCTTAGGCTGTGCATTCCTAGTTTCATCATTTTGGGGTTTGTGGGGAGTATGTCTTGGAAGGTTTTGGGGTTGGAGGATAGATCTGAGGTTGCTACCTCAGATCTGGAATATTGAAGGCCTAGAGTGCATTAAAGTTCCTGTGTTTGAGTGCTTAGTGAAGCCACCATGTCCCAAACCTTGGTTTTAAGGTGAATATGGCTTAAATCTCGTTAGATTCACGTAAAGTTTGCCACTTTACGTGATGGATGGATTGTAGGAGGTTGGATCTATGTTTTGGATCAATTGCATGGCCTGAGATGCTTCTGTATGGATTCAGAACGGAGGTACTCGACGAGTCACATGGGTGGACTCGACAAGTTGCTTGAAGATGGCCTGGGACTCGACGAGTTGGAAGAACAACTCGGCGAGTAGGTTGAAGATGGCCTTGGACTCGGCGAGTCTTGTCGAGGAAGTCCCAATATTTCTGGTTGAGTCGATGAATCGGTGAGTCAAGGGATGACTCGGTGAGTTGGGTGCGAGTGGACTCAGAGTTGTTGGACTCGACGAGTCTTGGGGTGACTCGGCGAGTTGGGTCGCTAATTGAGGGAAGTTCTGAGCATAAGGACTCGGCGAGTCATCGGGATGACTCGGCGAGTAGGGTCAGTCAGGGGTTGACTTTGACTCGTCCAAGGTTGACCAGTTGTCTTCCAGGGGTATTTTGGTAATTAAGGGTATTTATTGAGTTGTATGTTTTGATGTTTAGTGAAGGAGTTCGTGCCGGAGTTCGGAGCAGCGGGATCTTATCTTTTCAGCCGGCAGTTTCGAGGTGAGTTATCCTCACTATATCAACAGGGTCTAAGGCACCAAGGCCGGCCCTTTATTGTATTGAGATTCGGTTATGGTTATTATGTTATTGTTTGATGTGTCTGCATCCTGGTAGCTAGGATGGTACATGCTAGGAGGCCTTGCTAAGGTCAGTTTCCCGATATACAAGTGATGCTATGCTAGTGACCGGTTAGGTCGGTAACCCGGTTAGGGTAATGATATGCTATGTGATCTGCTTGTTCGGTTTGTTGACTATGACTGTTATATGATGTATGTTTTGTGCACATGGTTGTTTGGACTGGAGATGGGTTGAGGCGGGTCCTGCTTTGTGCTGTAGGCCAAGATACCCAGGGCGGACCGGTTGTTCCGAAGGCCCAGCGAGCGGTCCGGATAGGCTGTAGGCCCCACGAGGGCGGACCAGACGTGCCGAGGCTCGGAGAGTGGACCAGGCCGACTGAAGGCCCGATGCGGGCGGACCAGTCACACTGTAGACTCAGAGAGTGGACCAGGTGGGTTGAAGGCCCGATGCGGGCGGACCAACCCCACTGTAGACTCGAAGGACATGACTAGACCCGGAGGATGGATCCGTTGGACTGAAGGCCCGATACGGCGGACCAGTCACACGGTAGACCCGATATGCATGGTTGTTCTATGTTCTGTTATGTTATGTATGTTATATGTTTTGGACCGGAAGGTCGTAGCCTGGAAGGGCGTATACGTGGTTGGTATTTTGGGGGTATCTCACTAAGCTTTCGGGCTTACAGTTGTGGTTTAATGTTTTTCAGGTTCTTCAGGAGACTGTGGCAAGGCGAAGGCGCGATCGTACCGCTCCTCATGATTTTGTAGCAATGTGATTCTGGGAATACTCTAATGACTTGTATTGAAAACCTTTTTGTAAACATTTTAATGAAAATCAG